GCTCGGGGTTTTGTTTATAAATTAAAGTTTAGCCATTACTATTTTGCCTTGTAATTACGCATGTCAGCTAGACCCCCTAATTACTCGTCTTCGGAACCTCACATTATCGTGAGTTCTAATTCCTATTTGCAGTTCAGATTGCTTTGTATCTTGTTATTATTTGTTTCTTCGATTTGCTTGCAGGAATAAGATTGATCTGCACCGGCAATATCAATAACTCACTGAGAGATGTATCGATCGCTAAGGCACAACACAACAATATCTCGTATGGCTGTAGTCGTGTCAACAACTTCTCTCCCAAATCATAGTTATCTTTAACTCACCGAAAGATCGGGCCAATAAGAACAGTTAGCGTATGAATTGTAGCTTAGGGATTACCACAGCTAGGCCCACAGGTTCACTCATCAGGATTGTTTGTGGTACCATAGTAATCGCTTTTATAATTATAAACTTATCGTTTTACCTATATTACCGTAATAATAAACACTAGCTATCAAAAACTCAGTAAACATAAATTAATTAATAATTTGGATATTATCAAAAGAATAAACACTCATTAAGGAAGATAAGGTGATCTTTTGTACTAGCAAGCTAAATGAGCAACTGGCGGCTAAATGCTTAGCTCAACCCGATTGATTATGACTACAAGTTTAAGTCGAGCTCAATCAAAACCGATTTGAGCCATAAGCTTCGAGCTATTTTTTTCCCACCCCAATTAATGCCCAACTTCATAGAACCAACATATATATATAATACATTCACACATGAAGTTGTGAATAGTTCACACGATTTTAAATTTCAAGTTCGAATCTAATTTGTTCCGATCCGGCCTATACATTTCCAACCGGTCTTAGGCTGTGTTTGAGGAGAGGAGATAGAGAAGATCGGGAAGACACGCAAAACAAGATGAGTCATTATCACATGATTAATTGACTATTAACTATTTTAAATTTTAAAAATGAATTAATATAATTTTTAAAGCAACTTTCCTATAGAAATTTTTTGCAAGAAACACACCGTTTAGTAGTTTGGAAATCGTGCGCGTGGAAAACGAAACAAACTCACTCACAATCACCCAGATCACCCAGGAAAGAACATAGCCTTAATATGCAATGTTCCGAAATTTGGATCCTTTATGGCATCTGATGCTTGCTGCCCCTCTTGCAGTACGCAAATATCCTTGGTAGAATGGGAGAGAAAATGACGTGCAACTATCTCCGAAGCCTATCTTTGCAATTTTGCATCCATCCATCCCATCCATGCATGCAGCCACTTGACCTTTGGTGAGCATTTCTTCTTGTTCGATTCAGAAAGCGAAATATCAATCTCTTCTCCAATTCTCCAAATATGCAGCAACTTCATGGTTAATTGAGCTGCACGTGTATGAATTATGAAAGCAAAGCATTCATATGAATTTCTTCAAACGTATGACAGGAGTGAGGAACGTTGGAGGTGTTACTTTCTAGAGATACCAAAAGGACTTTAGTAGAAAAAGGAACTTTAATTAGACTAAAGAAGACATTAAAAAGAAACTGAATTAGACGTGATTAATTCTTGTAAAGCTCCTGCACTGCAACCACAGTGCCAGACAGAGGGAAGAATTCTTCAGCCGTTCGGCGATGCGAAAATGACAGGCCATGGTCCCAGTGCCACGGCGCCACCAAACGCACGCAAGAGCGAGATTAAATTAAGTGCTCCCCAACAACCTCGTGGTTTTCGCGTGCAATTATAATAACCTACGTACTCTGCTCACTTATTTGAAAATGAAAGAAACATTCTTCCTCTGTTCTAAAATATAGTATTAGTTTTTGCAATTTATATATAATATATATTGTTTAGTAAACAAAATACCCTACACCCATCTCTGCCTTTTTAAAAAAAAATCAAAGCTATAATAGTATACTAATTTTATCCATCTCTTTAATACCCATCTTGAAGTTATATTTTTGGATAGAAGAGGATTAGCTAGTCGTCAATATTGCTGTTGTCTTTCAACCGTGTCTCCTAGTCGATGTGGACATCGTTGTCCCTGTCGAACGGGACGGATCAGATGAGCCGACGAGGCGCGTGCGTGGATAGTGAGGTGGATCGAATTGCTTCGTACACATGTACCATTAGCTTTTATTCAGACTGTTTGTTAGTGCCTCCAAAGATGCTCTCATCTTGCTCTGGCAACATAGAAGAAAAATAAGTGTGATTATTATTATTATTATTACTATTATTATTGGGAGTAATAAACATGAATGAATATCGTTGCTATTGGGACTTATACTCTATACATCACTCGACACAATTCCCTTTTCAAATCACACGAATTTAAAATGGCCAAGATTGATTTAAGATTCATACAATACCTCCTAACCATATCCTATCCTTTTTGTCTTCATCACTCTTTGACTCCACCGCCACCCTCCGTCTTGTGCATCTCCTCTAGTGTCGGCTCCAGTACGTCCATCCTCCATCTTCTCCAACAACACCGTTGAGCACCCCCCCTCTCCCGGTGTTCTTCTTCTCTGACTCTAGCAATATGATGCCCTTATCCCACCGGTCCTTCCTCGCCTCCACTGTTATCATTGGGCTTTCACCACCCTAGGCATCCCTCCAAAACCGTCGGTCACTATCCCCAAGACCCCTACCCTCCATCACATCTCAACCCCAAAACGCTAATCTCAAGGTTCTCTACCAAAGTTGGAAACTCGCTAGAGACGAAGACAATGCATAAATCTTGAAGTAGATTTAAGAGAAAATTTGATCCATAGCATAGGGAAGAAAGCGATACCAAAAAGGCAAAATTTGCTACGGGACACTCAAAAAATGTGTAATTAGCTGTGAGATACCGCAAAGATGTGAATTTGTCCGAGGACACTTCAAAAATATGGTAATTTGCTGCAAGACACTGGAAGCATTAAAATATAATATCTATATAATAGATGAGAGAGAAACCACACAAAATGACACTTTTACCCTTATTATCTTATCCTACCCTCCAACCCATACCTAGCCTAATATGCCTTAGGCACACTTGGCAGACACTTGAGCTTGCCCAGGCTATATACAGTATACACCATCCTCCACCGCTCAAGAACACGAGAAAAAGAGAGAGAGAGAAAGAGAGAGAGAGAGAGAGAGATTAGCGTCGGCTTTGTTCGATGAATGGCCTCGACGTGGCGACGCCTGGCTCGCCCTCTATCTCCCCAAACCGTGTCATCTCTTCTCACACATCACCCTCGTGCCGAAGAAACCAGAGAGAGAGAGAACTCCAGTTTCCTCGACGCATGGCTGCCAAGAAGAAGGATGGCGTCGATCGCTGTCAAGCAGTCATCGTCCCAATCTCATCCACGTTCCATTACCTCCTCAAGACACCGGTTTCATTCCCTCTAACCTCATCCCTTTCCATGCAGTGAGTCAACGGGAACGCCGCCGCACACATGGACACCCGGGAGCGTGCTCCGAGCAATGCAACCATGTCGACCGGGTGAAGGGAGAAGAAAAAGGGCAAAACTGTCGCTTTGTGTGGTTTCTCTCTCATCAATTGGATGGATATTATATTTTAATGCTTCTAGTGTCCTGCAGTAAATTACCACACTTTTGAAGTGTTTTCGGGCAAATTCACATCTTTTCGGTGTCCCACAGCTAATTACACATTTTTTGAGTGTCATGTAGCAAATTTTGCCCAAAAAATAGCACAAGAATTTTTCGCTTTTGATCAGAAGCATAGGCCACCGGTTTTTCTTCGCCCCGTAGCATTTCCGTTAGGTTTGGAGTTAACAGCGTTAGATTGAAGTACAGAAAAAATTCGTTGGACCCATTTGCCCTTTGTCTTCCTCGCCGCATTTTCCCCGTGTCATCTACCCGTTCCGTTTTCACCCTATTAGCCTCGACACGAGTACACGATGACATGCTCCGGCGGGTGGCCTCCTAGCTCGTTGAGCAGGCGGGGCGCCTACGCCTCCCTGCTCCACCGCCTCCCTCCCCGGCCGGCGACTGCTGCAGCGATGATGCTCGAGCGCCATCCGCCGGTCCATCCTGGCCTCCGCCCCGCGGCGGCGACGGTGCAGCTTCGGCGCCTCCCATCAGGCCTGAGGGTTACTCCACCTCCGACAGCGAGGTGGACGGGCTAGGCAAGTACTTCAGCGAGGAGGACGAGGAGGAGGAGGCGGCGGAGGAGTTCGTCGAGGACATCGTGGCGTAGGAGGAGTGGGAGGGCTTCACGTTGGAGTACGACCATGGCTCCAACGCCGACGAGGATGCTGCGGAGTAGGAGAAGAAGTAGCGGCGCTGGAGGTGGGATTCTCTTCCTTAGTCTGTGTTGCACGCTAGGTGCTTGCGGAAATGCATGTGAGGTTCTACGCATGCTTTAATAAACTCTTTAGTTGTCGATAAATGATCTTGGATGCCCATTTGGGTCAAACCTGATTACCGTTGTCTTAAACAATGTGAGTCAAAACCTAATTCTACCGCAATATCGTAGGCATGTATTGTTGGTTTATTGGAGTGGTGTCTCCCCTCTAACAGCCGCCGCCGCCGTCACCCTTTCTCTTCAGCTTAATCAGCGAAACCAACGCAGGACTGTGCTAGGGGTCCAGCCCAACCAAGCATAGATAGAACAAGGGCAATATGGTCTTTCTAACTCTTGACTAATAACTAAACAATTCACTGGAACGATGACCACGACGGAAGTGCTACGGGGCGAAGAAAAACCGGTAGCCTATGCTTATGATCAAAAGCGAAAAATTATTGTGCTATTTTTTATACTTATTTTTTCCTATGCTATGGATCAAATTCTCTAGATTTAAAGGTTTTCAAAGCCCAAAGATAACGATGTGCTTGTGCTGTTTAAACAGCAGTAAGTAAATAGGACGGCCCAGCAGCATCCATCCGACGACCCGGCCCATCTTATTACCAAGGAACAAGCGTGGACAGTATCGAAGTTCCAACAAAAGGTACTCTTATTATCATCAGCAAAAAGTTTCTCAAAGAAAAGATTATCAGCAACAGTAGAAGGTAAAGGTAAGGCGACGCTGACGCTGCAGATCACGGATACATGATACACCAGTACAACACCGATTGATAAAGATCTCATCCCCAAATAGAATATCAAACACTCAGCGGCATACTCTTAGTGAGTGTCCGCTGGGGTCATCACAGTAGGCAATAGGAGTCTCATCTCTCCACTTACTAAGATTTCAGGACTTTTAATTTAAAGTTTCACAGGACTCTACCCACTGTTCCAAAAACAGCGACAGGAAACCGTATGCAAGCGCATCATCATCTTAAGGCAGCGTAGTGACATGGTACGGTATGTTACTTAAATAAACCCCCCCAAAAGAACAAGAAGCGTATCTCAGCTCCTCCACTTCATGGACTCGGTGCATTGTGGCGAGAGTTGGGCTTCAACCTTCAATCATCTGATGCCTTCGGGGAGTTCTCGGGTGTCTTGAGTGTGCCGGACGCCTTTTTCGCCTTGTGCATCTCCACCGCAGCTTTGAACTCCTCCCTGATGCTGGTATCCCTGAACTTCAGAGCAAATGTGGCAAGCCCGCTCTGCGAGTCGCCGATGCTGTTCATACAGGCAAACGTCACGCCCTTCTTGTCCATGTCCTTCAGCGACATGTCCTCGTAAAGGCTTGCGTTAAGAACTAGCCTGTAATTGCCCTTGGTTCTCATGACGAGACGAGACCTCTCGCCACCAGATACTGGGATGTTCAACTTTAGTTCCCCCTTTCCTCTTTCTTTCCAACCCCCATCCAAGTATTCATACAATGCTGAGTCGGCTGTGAATATGGCCTTCTCATTCTCTTCACCAGTTTCAACTGGGCCCTCTGGCATAGCAAATTTCTTGGGAGCTTCTGCCGAAGTCGCAAGCGCAGGGGAGGAACTCCCATTATTCGAAGCACCAATACTAAAAGATGGGAATGATGAGCCATCAGTCTTTAGCCCAAACAGGGGAGCACTCGAGCTTTCTTTAGAGCCTGATCCAAATGAAAATGAAGAGCCTGAAAATCCAGTTCCAGCCAGTCCTGTGAAGGCATTTTGGCCACTCGACAGGTTCTTGAAAGAGAAAAGGGGTGTTGGTGATGACGACTGCCCCTTGTTATCAGCATCCTTCTGCTCCTCAGACGATCCATCCTTTGTCTCTGATTCATCTCCATCTTTCTTCTCATCATCACCCTTGCTAATTTTGTCTTCAGCTCCAGCCTCATTTGCTCCATCCTCTTCTTCAGCATCTCCCTCTTTTGCTGTTTTGTCCTCGATATCAGATGCCTTGCTGTTATCTTCCTTGGCCTCTCCAGCTACCACTGATCCGCCCCCCAAGTCTTTTGCTTCGTCAGTGGTCTCAACAGGTTGAGAAGGTGGTTCAATTGAGTCACTGGACTTGGCTTTTTCATCTGATCCTTTCAGATCTGATCCATCCTTTTCTGTCTCAGCTACCTCACTAGAACCTGCACTCTTGTCAGTTACAGGTAAAGCATCTTTCCCACTGCCATTGCTTCCCTCATCAGCTTTCTCACTTGAACTATCCTTTGCATTCGCTGTAATGACATCAGAAGGTTGAGGCTCTGAGACAGGGATAGTTGCTTGGGCGCTGGTATCACTGGGGGTAAATCTGATTGCAGAGAAAGGATTAGAAGGAGCTGATGAGGGCTGCTGGCGTCGAACCTTTACAATTCTCCGTGTTGCCATCACTTCCTCACTAGCTCTCTTAAATGTCCCCATCTCTTGCTCAGTTGAGTCATCATCAGGCTCAGGATTATCCTTGTTGATTTGGGTACCTGCAACCCTCTTCCTAGACGTTGGAGCATGCTCCTCGTCTGCCATTTCAAGTTCCTGAGATTACCTGGAAATCAAAATAAAAGACCAGAGATTAGCAAACCAATAATGATGTCGTAAAACTTACGCAGGCGTTGCAATTAAAACACCTATTAGTGGGTTTCAAAATTCCAGATCAAATATGCAGTCTTTTCATGTACGTAGCATGAGTCAAAACATGAATGCAGCATGAACTCTAAAAGAGAGTTAACAGAAAAGGCTCAACATGCTCTCTAATTACACAAAACTACAAAACATCATGTCTGTACAGGTCAATAGCATTATGACCATGCAAATTCCTTACAATCCATCAATCTATGCACAGAAAAGAACTAAAAAACCAGCGAACTTGAAACGAAAAAATGGTTGTGCATGTACACAGCAATTGAAGGCAGAGTTGAACAAAATTACATGATTTTTCTAAAATATATGTGTGAAGTATAATATCCTAGTTTAAAGGCTCCGGCAACTTTTAGCTCTTTCCTTCAATCCTCTAGGGCACATAAAAATAGTTTCTGACAAGGACTCAATTGATCAATAACATGAGATAAGAGATATGTGCAAAGGCCTCATAAGCAGTTATTAATAAAATTAAGGTTGAAGTTGGAGAGACCAAAGTTTATAAAGTCATTTCAATTGGCCCATGAATACTATATACATAGTTTTTGAACTAAATGTTGTAAATGACCAAGAATATCTACCGGCGTTTAAAAAATATCTACCGCTGAACAAGAGCATTCATGTTTTTCATTGAAAAAAGAAACATGGCCAAACTATGTAATCTAGTGATGAACATCTGAAGCATGTACGTTTATGGGCAGTGCAGTATTTACACCTGGGCCTAGGGCAAGTAAAAAAAAAACTTCTTTTTTTCTATCTTTGCTTGGCATCCTAACTAGATTCACAACTGAAAAACCGGTTGCCCTAACAGTAAGGACCCCTCCAATATAGTTGAAGACAGCAATGGAACAACATAGGCATGGACGCATGGTATTGACTAACTGGAAGCTATGCTTCAGCAAACGTCTGAGAATTAGCAGATTCTAGTACACATTATAGGAATTCCAAAATTGTATACGCAACGTTATACTCAGAAGAGTTGTTGCTACAGCTACCAATCAGCTAAATCAAAACAAAAGTTTCTACATACCGACAGAGAGAAGTATAAAGGTATAATCAATACTCAGGAGGTAAAAAATTTGCAGCTAACCAAACAAACATGAACAAGCTGAAAATTCATGCATTCCCAGAGTAGTGTAGGTACCATAAGAGGACCAATTTCAAAAATACTTTACTCCTTTAAACTCCTTTAAAAGGAGTTGGGATGATGGTGTGTTCCACAGTAGACTCTGTTTGATATTTTACATTTTTCTCAGGACCAAGCCCAGCACAGGTAAAAGCCCCAAAGCCTGAAGTAAACCCTAATTTCAGTTTATCTTGACTAAAAAGAAAATTGTCCTTTGTACTTCACTAGAATTCAGAAATCATCAGCTCATCGCTACTTCAATAGAATTTCAATCCAAACGCGTGCAGTACCGAACTACTACTGACCAAACAAGCCCGTACTCACCAGAAACGGCGGTCGACGGCGGCGTAGGGAGGGACCACGGGACGAGGTCGAACGGAGAGGCGGACGGGCGGATGGCGGAGACCGGGGCGTGGCCGCTCAGAGGCGCCGGTGCGCCGCCCGAGCCGAGGCGGAGCGCCGCTGCCTCGCCCTCGACGACGGCGGCGGCGGCGGCGGCGGCAAGTAGCGAGTGGCTCCGACCCTTCGCCTCCGGAGTACAGATCTGGCAATTTAGGGTTGGGGGATTGGGAGTGGCTCGTTTTATATGGCGGCTGGGTGCTGGGCTTTGTAGGCGATTTGGGCCTTCGTCGTATCCGGACTTCCCAAAAGGCCGGCAGGTTTACATAGGAGTCGGACCGGGCCGGGCTTTTAAGGGTTCAGACTTTAAAGCCCAATTCTGATAGGAAAAACAAACCTAGCTGGAAAAAGTACACCGAGGGTCCCTCAATTTGTTATCGGGATACAAAATTGCCTCCAACCGTAAAACCAGATATGCGAGGTCCTTAGCTACACAAAACCGGTCACAATAGGTCCATCGGCGGTTTTAATTCCGGTTTTATCCTACGTGGCTGTTGAGTCAACGTGGGACCCACATGAGCCCCACATGTCAGCGTGGCCACGTCAGCTTCCTCTCTCTTTCCTTTCCTCATCTCTCTCTCTTTCACTCCTCTCTTCTCTTTTTTGGGCAATCTGGCCGGCGGCTGGGGCGGGCTTGCCTTGTCGACGGTCTCGTAGTCGGAGAACTGGAGGAGCTCGTCGACGGCCCAGCCCTGTGGCAGGAACTGCGCGGCGAGGGCGCCTGCTGCATCCTGCATGTCGACGGCAGCGGTCTGTGCCGGCTGCTGCTGATGATGATGTGGTGGTGACGCTCGGAGGACCCATGGGCGGGGCGTGGTGGTCGGAGTCATGGGCGTCGCTGCCGCCGTCGCAGGGCGAGGCGGAGGCGAAGCCGACGCGGCAGAAGAGCGCTAGTGCTTCCTGCGGCGGCTGCTCCGGCTACCGGCTAGCTAGCAAGCAAACAAATAGTAGTATATGTGAGGCTAGCTAGCTTGTCATTCTGTGCATGCATGAGCCATGCGAATATACGAATGTACATGCCGTATATATACTCTAGCTAGAGAATCAAGGGCTAGCATTTGCTAATTGGCCGGTGGAGCAATTACGTACGTACATGCATGCGCCATGCATGCTTATCGTATTGAGGGTGAAGTAATTATCGTATTTTACGCGCCGCCGGCCGGATAAACTCAGTCGATCAAAGTAAAGATTTTGATTTGATCAAGTTAAGGCCGCGACCTCGGCGACCTCGGCGTTGCTCATCTTCGACGGCGCTGTCCTCTTCCTTAAGATGGTGCTGAGAGATCTGCCTCACGCTCATCATCGAGCCACTCGGTAGAAGAATGCTACTCCCTCCGTTTCAAAATGTTTGACACCGTTGACTTTTTAGTACGTGTTTAACCATTCGTCTTATCCAAAAAATTTAAGTAATTATTTATTCTTTTCATATCATTTGATTCATTGTTAAATATACTTTCATGTACACATATAGTTTTACATATTTCACAAATTTTTTTAATAAGACGAACGGTCAAACATGTGCTAAAAAGTCAACGGTGTCAAACATTTTGAAACGGAGGGAGTACTACCCTGCCGAAGCACGCTCGCCGAGGGTCGTCGGAACAAGGCCCTGAACGCCGCCAAGATTGCCTGCATCCATGAACGACGTCGAGATACAGGATGTCCTCGCTTCGCCGGTCGATGGCCTCTCAGACAGTGCCCCTCCTCCTCCTCATCCTCATGCTCGAGGCGGCGGCGACAGGGGTGCGTCAGCGGCGGTGCAGTGCGGGCAGGTGACGCAGCTGATGGCGCCGTGCATGCCATACCTCGCCAGCACCCCCGGGATGACGCCCTACGGCATCTGCCGCAACAGCCTCGTGCGTGCTCAACCGGATGGCCCCGACCCCCGCCAACCGCGTTGCCGTCCGCAACTGCGTCAAGGACGCTGCCACAGAGAGAAGAGTGAGAGAGAGAAAAGGCAGAGAAGAGGGGAAAGAAAGAGGAGGCTGACATGTGGGGCCCACGTAGGTCCCACGCTGACTCAGCAGTCACGTAGAACAAAACCGGGATCAAAACCGCCGAGAGACCTACTGTGACCGGTTTTGTATAGTTAAGGGATCTCGCATATCTGATTTTGTGGTTGGAGGACGATTTTGTATCCCGATGACAAGTTGAGGGACCTTCAGTGTACTTTTTCCAACCTAGCTCGAGAGTACTACGGGGCTGTTCAGATTGATGCCATTTTTAACCATACCATTTTTTGGCATGGTTGCTAAAAATGTCTCTACGTTTAGTTTGTTGTCAAATTTTGGTAAATACATAAGAAATCCTACCAAAATTTTGGTAATATTGTCAACTTGCCAAAATTTGGTAAGATTTATTTTGGCTACAATCTGAATAGGCCATACATTATAGGAAAACAGTCCATGACTTCCTCAAATATCAGTCGAATCTAATTCATATCCATCAACCCTCTCAATTATTAAAACCATACAAAACGTCCCCATCGATTGTTTTGAGGGCAATCTTTACTGGTATGGTGTTCATGTAACAATCCAGTCATCAAAGCAATTAAAAATAGATATAGGCCCACATGTAAGTAACAAGGGGGGAAAATAAAAAACCATGGGGCCTACATGTCAATCCCACTCTTATTGTCGTTCTTTCTTCTTTCTTTCGCACATGGGCGCAACAATCCAGCGGTGCAGGCCCGCTTATCGTTGTCCCCCTGCACTGAAGAGTCGAGGAGGCGAGCAGCGAGGATGGTGGAGGAAGACGAAAAGGCCACCACCGCCACTTGGGTTGTGTACCATCAAAGCCCACTCTCCCTACAGTGGTAGACCTCGAGTCGCTTTGCCCTGGCTCCTTCTCCGAGTGTCTCGGCGAGCAGCGAAGATGCGGTCGACGAGCTAGGCCACATCGACACCATTTCCCTTGATCCCATCTCCCTCCGCTCCCGCGCATGCAAGGGAGAAGGCACGTGCTAAAGTCATTGTGCTGCACGAGAACGACATCGTCAGGGAAGAAGAAGGGATGCATCGGCGGAGCTAGCAGCGGCCATGGAGTATGGCATCGGGGAGGCCAACATCATCGGTAAAGCTTGTAGAAGGCAGAGATGGAGGGGATACGACATAGGGTGGCATGGCAGAGCCGGCGGTGGCGCTCTCTCCTCCTTCTCCTCCTCACCGCCAGCTCTCTCCTCCTCAACCGCTCCGCCTTGAGGCCGCATCGTCGCTTGTCGGGGCATGCTAGCACCTAGATCTTGGCCCACCAAAACCGTCTACCTGTGTCCCCTCGGCCCTTGCTCGAGCTCATTGCCGCCATCGCCGTGTGCCCGTGTGGGGAAAAGGAGAGGACAGATCGGGGAGATATTCTTTTAAAATAATTAATAAATCTATCTAAGTTATAATAGTTAATACTTACTCATATTTTTCCGTGGCAAAATAACCTGAATTTGTTCAGCCGAGCCTAACATACCCTAAACTGTATGTGCCAATGGTTTAATCATAAAAGACGTGATACAAGTATGTTGGGAATAACGGATTGCGTGTCCTATGATACTGTAACACTACAATACCTTATAGCAAATCAAGTCAATAAAAAATTGCTCATCAAGGATTGATATCAATGGTCTTGATGGGCCTATTCGATTGGCATTTTCTGCAGCTAGCTGCAGCCGTACAATATAAAACGTCTCAGCTACAGCGTTGCCGTAATAATGGTAGCTGAACAGGCCCAATAAAAATAAGTTTACTGCTGGGCTAGAAAAGAATGGTTGAAGGAGCATTTACCTCCACTCTTTGGATTTTAGTTCCTAGGCCGATCAGGGTAAGCTTCTAGGCCTCTTCTGTTGTTGCTTGTTTGCTTCTCTTTGCTCCTGGTGGGATCGTTCTAGCAACCAGATCGGTTGCAAGGTTGCCTGCTCATTGTATCTTCGACGGTGTTTTTTTTTTCAATGCTAAATGATTCTCTACCGGTCAAGGCCATGTAAGGCCCTGTCTGGAAACGTGCCGATGCTTGTTCTGTTGCGGCTTGCCATGGTTGCTCTTGCCACCTTTGTCATCAACATAGATGAAGCAATTGCGTAAGACAAATCAAGAAGGTCTTGATTGTGTTTTTTAGATTTTCTTTTGTCCTGCCTTGAAAAATCTAGGACCTTTATATAATTTATTCTATCCCAAATGATTGTCTGATACTGGTTGTCGTAGTATTTTAAAAATAAAGTCAGCAGGTGCAAAAAAAAAATTAACGGTTTTACTATAAATATATCGACGGATTTCTTACTTCAAATCACACGGTTTTTTTTCTTTGACCTACCACATCAAAACATAAGTTTTCTTGTCTGTTGACCATAGTAACCGACTAGTGTTAATGTAGGCTGACAAAATCTTCTAGCAAATGCCTTTGTGGGATGAGCATATGAATTCCAATTGCTAGAACTTGCACTTCACCAGTGGAACAAGTGAATAATTTAATTTAGTTGCATAGCCAAAATTACACAATAATTACAGAGTAACTCCAATGTAATTATGGTGTAGATACACTGTACTATGTACTATGGTTGTAATTATGGTGTAGATACACTGTACTATGGTAGTTTCAGTGTAATTATATTACAGTTATATTGTAATAAGTTGTGATAAAAAAAGTTTGACTATGAGTCTGTTTATAATTTTTTTTAGCCCGTGCGAGCACCGTTGGTTGGTCCAGTTAGGTTGAAGCCCATCAAGTAGTTACTGTAGCTGTTATTGATGTGCGTCGGATCTTGATCTAAGGGTTGAAAATTCTGTGTAATATCGACTCTGAAATCTGTGGAATGCAAGCTAGTTAGTCTCCAAAAATAATATTTCCTTCCCTACCCAAAAAATATAGTTATATCTAGAGCTTATTCGGATTACAAGATAGACAAAACATATTACTACGATAGAAATAGAAAAGAAATCCAATTGTAAAACATAAGAATGAAAAACAAAGGAATATAAAAGCTGAGAGCATTCGGATTATAGGATATGAATTAAAAAAAAGAGCTTGAGGTGGTTGGATTTTTCTCGTACTTTTCATGTGAAATTAGCATTAAATGAAATTTTCCTTTGGATTTTCTACGATCTGTTTCCACATCCGAACAGCAAGAAAGGAATTTTTTTTTAAAAAAAGCTCTCATACACAGTATCCTCTAAAAATCTTGTTGGAATCCTCCAATTCGAAGAATATAATAATTTCTTCATCTAAGCTCATCTCAACCAATCACAACCATCGTTGATTTTATTTTCTTCAGCTACTTATTCATCCAATCACAAATATCAATTATTTAATTTTATCTCTTACAATGTTGGTCACAAACATTAGGAATTTTCTTTAAGATTGAAAGAGACATAGGAAACACGTATAGTTATGTGCTCCCTCCGTCTCTAAATATAAGAGATTTTTGATAGGATGTCTATTCAGATTTATTTTAATATGTCACATTGCATGAAAATGATTTAGGGAGGGAGGGACCGAGGGAGTACTCCGGTCAAGCGATCACGCCATCACGGTTGGTCGGATGACCGGAGTGCTTGTGTAGTACTGTAGTAGGAGAACAGGCACAAGGCATGAACACACGCATGAGGACGAGGCCGAAAAAGGGTCAAAAACATCGCGTTATCCTTCCCTCCTCTCGCCTCGGTGGTGTGCGTCTTCCCCACCCACCCCCAGTCTCCAATGGCCACCTCCCACCTCCTCGCCGCCGCCTCCTCCACCGCCGCCTCCTCCGCCACCTTCCGCCCTCCCCTCCTCAGCCTCCGCTCCCCGCCGCCCTCTTCTCTCCGCCTCAACCGTACTGCCTCCCCCTCAGTTCCCTCTCTCTCTCTCTAGCTTCTTGTTCTTGCAGCTAGCCCCGCTGTGTGTGGCTGATGCGTCTGAGCTCCTCCATTCGCAGGCAGGCGCCACTTCCAGGTGGTCCGCGCGGCCGAGACCGACAAAGAGAGTAAGCTCGGGCGTCTCCCTGTTTGTTCGATTGATTTCTATGGCGTTTTCGGGTTTTCCTAATGTGCGGTTTGGGTTGGCTGCGCAGCGAAGGCCAATGCGCCCGAGAAAGCTCCCGCGGGAGGCTCCAGCTTCAACCAGCTGCTCGGCATCAAGGGCGCCAAGCAAGAGAACGTGAGTCTCCCATCCCGCTCCCTTGCGCTACGTTCTAATCTGGTTGCAGAATGCATATAGAGCACTGGGCACTGGGGTTTTAGCAGCATATAGAGCGCTGCATATATGCATGGGCATTGAGCATGTCCTACACTGGGTTCTTGGTGTGTGCTGTAGCGGGATTGCCGATGCGCTACCCAGTGGCGTCCTCCTCGAAAATTTCCTGTTTTTGGATGCCATACATGGCCCTTTCTCTACCTTTTTGGGAGAGCATTGGAGCATTTTTCACAAATGTTATATGCAGCTGCGGCTTATGATGCCACGCCGGCGCACGCCCTACCTTACCGCGTTGTTGTTGTTTGGGTCATTTTAGTTATGTGTATACTAGCTAGGTGCCTTGACCAAGTTATGGACATTCATGCCGTTCGTTCTTCAATAGATTGATGATTAGTGATACGCTTTGCTCTATGCATCTTTCTTGTTTGTAGTAGTTCGCAGTTTTTGTTAAGGCAATAGACGATTCTCCAGATTGTGACAAGTTTAGTACTAATGGCTCATGTTGTGGAAGGCTTGGAATGTCGATACATAATCATTCAAAATAGAAAATAGGATTTCAATTTGAAGCATTCCTTAGTTTGCAAGCTTTTCCCCCAAAACCATGTTTTAAGCACTCTACTTCACATTTCTAGAAGCTGATAAGATATGCATCTTTTTCTCTTTTTGCAATCAATATGTTCATGTATGGAAACAACTAATGCTATATTGCTAATCAATTAACTCTTTCACATGGTGCATATAGGACATATGGAAGATTCGCCTTCAACTTACTAAGCCAGTGACATGGCCTCCGCTTGTATGGGGAGTGCTTTGTGGAGCAGCTGCCTCTGGTATGCCTATGGTACCTTTCGTTGATTTTATCTGTTTGGAGAGTTTATTCTTCTACTTCCTAATAATCATTTGAGCACCTGTAGAATTGGTAAACTACTTTTTTTACTTTATAATCATGTGTGCCTGTCACTACATTGCAAGCATTCATAAGACCTAATCAACGGTTTAAAAGTGTGCATCGTCCCTAAATGATGAATTTACTGAACCCTAGTAATTTTACTGTGTTGCCAATTTGCATAATTTACAAGATCTGTAGGTCTGCAACTTATTTTGTGATGAAGTTACTTCCTGATTATCGCTGTATTAGAGTGGAATCAGCCAAAAGATTGAATATATGTGGGCTAGGCTCTATGCGAGATAAGTCCAGCCAAAAGAGTTCTTTAGGGTGGCAATGGCATACTATTAGCTCATTGCTGACAGTACCTGTACTTATGAACAGTGTTCCTCCTGGTGTACAACCATAAATTTATTATTTGCTTATAGTTTATTCTAACCTCTTGTATTCAGGAAATTTCCACTGGACAGTTGAAGATGTTGCAAAATCTATTGTCTGCATGATAATGTCTGGTCCATGTCTTACAGGATACACACAGGTTTGCTGTTAGGACTTGGATATGTTTTATACTTTTATCGACTCTCTTCATAACTTCATATTATGCTGCATGGAGAACTTTTTGCACTGCTGCTAACAAATATGTCAGCTTTCAAATGTTCCTGACTGTAGACAATTAACGACTGGTATGATCGAGATATAGATGCGATAAATGAACCTTACCGTCCTATTCCTTCAGGCGCTATATCAGAAAATGAGGTATGCCAATGGAGCTTTTTCCTTTCTTTTCTGTGCTCATATTTATTCACAGTTTTGTTTAGTTTCATCAGCTAATGACAAATGACTACTCTGCTGATTTATGTGCCATCAGCTATCACTTTAACATTGGGGAAGCACCTTTAGCAATGGGTTTCTGACAAAATACTCCCTCCATTTTTCTTTATAAGACTAACCAACATCATACAGAAAAATAGAGGGGGTATACCAATATACCATAAGTCGTAAAATTGAAAAGGTTATATATATATATATCATGTAATAAACTAATAATCTTATTACAAGCCATATATATTTATTGATCAACTATCTACACAATACCTCATCGATTAAAGAAGTGGTGGTGGGATGGCAGACTTACTGCCACCACGACTACTAGTTTTTTTTATATATATACACTAGAGATTGCGAAGTTTCGATGCAATCCCTAATGATGTTGCCAGGTGCAACTGTCTCAACAATCATTGTGTCATGCAAAATGTATCTCATGTATTTACTGACGGCAACGATTTCATCCAGGTCATTACTCAAATTTGGGCACTGTTGTTAGCAGGGCTTGGCCTGGGTGCTCTGTTAGATGTATGGGTAAGTCTCCAGCTAACTGATCTTGAATATTAGCAGGTTGAAAAAGAAAACGCTCTTCTTTGTTTTCTTAATTTTTTTTGCTACATTTTGCAGGCAGGACATGATTTTCCTATTATTTTTTATCTTGCTGTTGGTGGGTCCTTGCTTTCTTACATATATTCAGCTCCACCTCTGAAGGTATTTGATACATCTGTTCTGAATCACACAATCCCCCTTGTTTTTAGTACAGTACATCATAATTAGTCAACAGCTTTTGATTGAAAAAATTGAAAAAAAAACACCCTTGCACATTTCAGCTCAAGCAGAATGGATGGATTGGAAACTTTGCTCTTGGTGCGAGCTACATTGGCTTGCCCTGGTAAATTAACAGTGCGGATCTTCTTCCATATTGAGTAAAAATCTATGATATTATATGCAAGAAATTAGATGTATATCCTATCTGTATGTATTCTTCGCAGGTGGGCTGGCCAGGCATTATTTGGAACCCTTACTCCTGATATTGTTGTCCTGACTTCTTTGTATAGCATAGCTGGGGTATATCTTCATACGATTACTTTTCTTGTAACAGTGTATGCTTTTCATGATCATTGACCGTCTTTCGTGATTTTCTAGCTAGGGATTGCTATTGTAAATGACTTTAAGAGTGTTGAGGGAGATAGAGCTCTGGGGCTTCAGGTTCTTCTTCTGTCTGTAGTGTAGAGTTATCACAGCCCTTTTCTGTAGTTCCAAAGAAAAGCAATCATCCATATCACTTACCTTTTTTCAGTCACTCCCGGTTGCTTTTGGTATGGAAACTGCAAAGTGGATATGTGTAGGAGCGATTGACATAACTCAATTATCCGTTGCAGGTAAAGACATGCATTTTCATTATGTTGCTTTTGTTTCAAACATTATCTTCAAGGCTGTATCTTGGTTTCATTGATTATGTGGTCCATGTTGTCAACTTGTCATGCTGCTATTTAGCATGCCATAATGTTATGAATTTATTTTATTATAAGGGGAGGGCTAAACATTAAAGGAGCTACCATGTTTGCTCAGAGGCCTAAAAATTACCATGTTATTCAGAGAAAAAGAGAAATATTTGCACGGTTCGATCATGGTGGGTCTATACTCTATACTGTAACAATAAAGATTGATTGCTATAGATGGATGCAAATTATAATTGTATTTATAGAACTAGATGCAGAGTTTTAAGTAAGACAATGTAGGTCTGCACAACCATGCGGAAATTTGATCTGGTTACTATTTAAAAATATTGTCGTTTAAATTTCCAGTGTAATGACGAAAGTTTTAAAGAAACTATAAAAGGGCAGTTGCTGTGAAACAAGAAATGTTTCCTAAATGTTCAGAATTAGCTTTAGAAATGTTTCCCGTCATCCCATGTCAGCAAACTGTCCAGCAGATAAATGTTGCTATGTCATCTTTGTGAATTTCCGTAGCAAACTGATTATTCTGAGGATTGCTATGTTTTCGAGTGGCGACCCTAGTACTTTCGAAGCACCATAAAATATTGCATTATTCTGACAAAATGAATTCCATTTTTCAGGCTACCTTTTCAGTTCCGGCAAGCCTTATTATGCCCTGGCACTGCTAGGACTCACAATTCCTCAGGTGGTCTTTCAGGTGAGCTGGTCGTTCCAATTAGTTCTCCCAAATGGTTTCCTTTATTTCTCTGGTCTGATCCCACTCAGTACAAAACATTTCAAACTGCTGTGAATATTAACATTTCTCCCTGTAATGCTAGTGAGTGAACCTTTTAGGTTAGCCATCTGCAGTTCAGACAATATCACAATAGTATGGAATTAGTGCCACCAAACTATGTATGGCAAAAACATTTCTTCTTACAGTCCTTATGACTTAAAAAACAAACAACACTGCAAACTAAACTCTGGCTGCCAGGAAATTCAGTCGCTCTCTGCTTTCTACTCACTCTATTTCATATTATAAGGCGCTCTAACTTTTCCTAAGCTTATAGAAAAATATAGCAATATTTCAACACAAAATAAACGTATTATCAAAATTTATTTAATATTAGATTTAGTGAAACTAATTTAGTGTTATAGATATTTGTATATTTTCCTATATACTTAGTCAAACATTAAAAAAATTAACTTAGAAAAAATTCATAACTTAGGAAAAAGTCAAAGTATGGTTGTAATATGAAATGGAGGGAGTAGCTTCTAATCCTCCTCATTTTCCTTGGAGCAGTTCCAATACTTCCTCAAGGACCCTGTGAAGTATGACGTCAAATACCAGGTGCGCTTCTGTTAGCTTCTTCAATTCATTCATCTCTTCCTTCCCCATTCTGAAACTGCCAAGCAGTAGAAACTGGAGACAACCAACGCACAGTCATCTGATCAGTGCAATCTTACATTTGCCAAATGCAGGCAAGCGCGCAACCGTTCTTCGTCTTGGGCCTTCTGGTGACCGCCCTTGCAACCAGCCACTGATGAAAGCAGCAATCGCCCTGGACTGTGATTCTGTGACAGCGAAGTTTTGGGTGGAAGATGCAGATTGATGGTTCTCTGCAACTGTTGGTGGAGCTAGGTTCAGCAGCTATGTTCGCGAGTGTATTAGCGCTCTTTTGGCGGTGCTGGGTAGTAGAATGTAGAATCGTTTCTTGTTGATTCCCTGAACTGATCCAGATCAAACATCTTCTAAAGGTTCTGCGATGCAATGCTAGCTGCAGACGGGAGATGGTACAGGGGGTCGTTTTGCTACTTTGCCGCCGATGTTGTAGGGTGTGTAGACAGACTGTAGATGAATAATGTCAGTAACACCTGTGGGGGGTTCAGTGCTAGTGGGCTGCAAAACTTGAGCACTGCTTCGATCAAATTGTGTCTTTGATTATGAAATTATGGAATCCAGCACAGGCAGGTAATAATTTCGTAATAGAGCATAAACAATTTGTGACCTTAGGTGCGAAGAACATAAAGCTGACCAAGGTGAAGTAATATTGATGCATTGTGCGCTGCATTTAATTTGGTTGTTGAATTCAGAGTACGTATTTAAATAGGTGTCCGGAGGGGAAAATGTACACAAATGTTTACTCCGTTTGCTGTGCATCTCGCAGTGATACAAAAAAATACAAATCAAACCACGCTAAAAAATTTAGTCAGTTGCTCGTCTTCAGAATTCAGTCCTCAAATATTTTTAATGTTTCCTCCATGGCTGCTCGTCCGTTCATTTTGCACTCGTTTTGCTCTCTGTGAACTGGAGAGCCCCAGAGGTTCTCTTTTTGCATGTAATCTGAGTTTCTGATCAACCATTCAGCCTGGCTAAGAAAACCATATGGTGGTGGCGTTCTTCTAACTTGTGTCTGCGCGGCTGTTGGCTTCATCCAATTCATCGATCGCCAGTTACTACTTACTTACTAACAGCGTCCGGGAACAGGAGTTGAGCCAAAGAGGCAGGTTTATCTTCCATTAAGCTTAAGAGAACTCGGAGATATCTCGAAGTTCTTGGCACGGCACGTCCTGTTTTCACTTTCAAACTTGAGCATTCAGTTTAGACGAGGTACTTGATTTTTTTTTTGTGTGCACGCCCCAGCAGGTGTTTTAAGAAAAAAATTAGGCAACTTAAAATTGTTGTCCCTTCTCCTGTGTTTTGCGCTAATAATTCCATCCTGCACATGGCATCTCTGAGGAATCAAAGATCAACTAGCAACAGCAACAATTAGCCGCGATAGATCAGACATAGACACTGGCACTTTCGGATGAACAACAGCTAGCTAGATTAACTGAAAGCAAGCACGGTTACAAAGGACACACCCAGCAGAGGCATCAGTTGGAAACAAGAAGCTAGCAGCTGCTGGCCATGAAAAGCCAAAGCATCACCTAGCTAGCATTCAGCCCCTGCCTGACCGATCCTGCAATAAACTAAAACACATACCCTAGCTACTGACCATGATCGATCAGCACCTAAACCAAACTACCAAAGCTAGCTAAAGCTAAGCACGCATCACCATATGAAACATAACATAGCAAATCATACGGGCGCCTAAATGCGTGCATCCGTCAAGACCTACATTATTATTGATAAGAGAGCTAGCTAGCTAAGACTGACTCGATGACTACAACTGAGACGACTACGACACACTGGCATTCACGGATGCAAAAGTGTGTGTAGTCTAGGACTTGGTCTTGTACTTGGACTCGTCGATGTCGATGCCCTCGCGGGCGGCGCGCTCGCCGCCGGACTCGTCGCCGGTGCTGAGGCCGCCCTTGCGCCCCATCTCGCGGTACCCTTCCTCCCCCATCTGCTCCTTCCTCGTCTGCCCCCCGCGGCTGCGCCCTGATCGATCGATGCACACGTACGCATATTAGTTACGTACTTCAACCGAAATACCGAATGAAATGGCAAGTTTGATCTATCAAAAGTTTCAGTATTATTTTGCATACCCTCGGCGAGGTTCTCCTGGGCCTCGAGGCTCTTGCCGCCGGTGCCGCCGGGGACGACGGTCTGGCCCTCCCTGGCCATGCGGTCCAGCTCCGACCTGCCCTGCTGCTGCTGCCCGGACGCCATTGCCAAACACTAGTTAGCTAGCCTGACGTACGCTGCGAACTGATCGATGAACAAATCGGAAGGGTGGCTTGTGTTTGTGTGTGTATGTCTTCTGCGGCTTGAGCTGATGGGGATGGACGACGCGGCCGCGCTGTCCTTCTTATAGGCGGCGACGGACGGGGCGGTGCTCCGCGGCGGGATCAGGGCGCCGGCAACGTACGTGTCGCGCGGCGACGCGGACGGCTCGGTGCGCGCGCGCGCCTCCGCGACACGCGTCGTGGCGAGGCCGCCGGAGCGCGACACGTACGTGCGCAAGCTATGCCTCCGCCCGTGCGCGGCGCGCTCTGGTTCGCTGCATGCGCGTGCGCGCGCGTGCCTATGCATACGCATATACTACTCCGTATGTCCGTGCTAGCGCGACTGCGCGAGCGCGAGCGAGCGAGCGGCGGGGTGGCTGCACTGTCGACACGTCGATCGGGATGTCGATCACCGTGCATGCATGTGGACATGTGGTAGGCTCGCACGCACCACCTGGTCGGGGGGAAGCCCATGCGTAGACCGATCGTGGACCGGCGACCAGATGTTTCCGGCTCGCTCTCTCAGCTACTGTGTGCAACTGCATGTGTATTGACGCAGTACTACTCTCATGCCCTTTCTCAGATGGTTTTCATGTATGGGTAAAATTGCTTGGACCGACAACTCGGTGACACTGTAGAGTGACAATTAATATGAACGTTGCATACGTCTGTCGTCTCTTTATGGATAACTAAATATTTTTATGCATGAAGGATTATTCATTTATCATTTATGGCTTCTTTAATTGATTTGTTTCGTGCTTCAGATTAGTGGTGGCGTTAGGATTTCTTCTAGCCTAGAGCTCAAATTGAAGATTAAAATTGCCCATGACCACACATAGACCAAGTACAGTAAAAATGTCAAAAAAAAAGCAAAAATGAGGGCTAAAATTACCATGACAATTCATACACGGAACGGAAGTACAGTAAAAATTAAAAAGAACTGAATTAACATTTCATTGGAATACCCCCATGATCTTCACTCTCCATCAACAGCACTACAGTATGGAGAGAGGCTGAACTTGAATCTGAAAAATGATATTACTGCAAATTATGAGAACTTAACTATTTACAAGGAATATATGACATACCTCGATGATCTTCATTTCTCAAAGCACGATTATGATAATGTTCTGTAATATCTTCGACACTAGCAAAATTATCTCGCTCTTCAAACAACAAAAACATCTCATGTTTTGCTTAGAAAGGAAGCAATTAAAACAGAAAATTGCATCCTTAGCAACCAATTGTGCTTTTTAAAACATAACTTCCGAAAGCTCCCATTCACCCCTATATTTGTTCTGCTCCTCTTTATCTAGGAAATCAAACCAAATTTCTCACTAACTGCTTGTCTACAACCAAATACAAAATGAGAATGTACATCAAAGATTAGAGACTAGACTAACCTGGATTTGGGGGATCAAAACGAGAATGCAGATCCAAGTTGTTGCCGCTATCGATGCGCGCCCCAGCCGATGTTGCGAGATGAGAGGAGCAGTGAACATGCACCGATGCATGATGCAACGTTGGAGTCATGAGTGCAGCGTGAGGAGTGAGGACGGTAGACTGGTGGAGATTATAGTTTAGGGTTGTCTATTGGGAAGTGAGGAGTGAGGACACTGAATTAGGGTTGGTCACTTGGGTTGTCTATTGGGCTGTGATCCGTCTATTAGGCTAGGAACCTGGCCACTTGAGGTTGGGAAAGGATGTGCGTGGGGCTGGGCTAGAGGAGTAGGGTTGGGCCAAGCGATGTTGAGAAAGTCTGAAAATATGATAATTTCTTCCACGAGTAGGGCTCGGGCCCAAGCTGCTAAAGCCACGGTTCTACCCCTGCTTCAGATGTGTTATGCTATTATCACCGAGGAGCACATGCGGAAGCCTTTGTAAAATGTGCCGATGCTTTTACCGTGTTCTCTATTGTACAACCATAAAAACAATATGAGTTGTTGGTTTATAAGACATATTACTACTTTACTAGCTATGTGATCCGGGATAATTTTCACATTTGGATTTTCCCCTTCCATTACTTAGGTCCCTTGGTCGAAGGGCGCCTCCTTCCACCACATCCCGCTTTCGCCGTCGCAAAATCCCTCCTATCACCGGCGCTCTACTCTGATGGCCTGCAAACGGTTTTCACCACTACATGCTGCTGCCATTCTTTCAACATCGCCTCCTCCAATTGTTACTGTCTGAATCATTGGATATATTGACCGTATTACTGTAATCTTTGTGCGCTAGAGCTCCGCAAGTGTCCGATTTCAAGCGGCGACACCCACTTAGGTGGACGCGCGGAGGATGACTTTAGTCCCCATGCTTCAGTGTTGTTCCCTGTCGCCTCCTTAGTTCATCCCCAATACTAGTCCCGAAAGACGTCTAATGTGAAGGAACTGGAGGGCGGCATCGACTCCGTATGCAAGACTTGCACGAACCATCATCGCCCACATTGTTTCTTCCAGCAGTCTCTAGTACCGTTCATCCTCGTTGTCCTTGCGAGAGCTGTCCCTAGCCGTCCCTAGTCCCGTGCAGGTTGTGTGACTCTACAGGGCCCTAAATCATATATTAAGTACCCTACATATATAATGCCATATTGGTTTTCGTTTCTTTTTTTTTTCAAGTTCAGTTGAGTTTTTTTATTCACAATTGGCCTAATCTCTCTCCAGTTCTCCTTGTTTCCTAATCCGTGGGTTCTCCTACCTAGCTCACTAGTTGCTTCCCCTAGGGTCACTTCGCATTGCTCCATTAGTATTGCAACACGGGAGGAATGCAATGACAGCAGCAACACTGAGCGCTCGTGGTTGCTGTCAGCCTGTCACTGCTCTTAGTTTTCTTGGAGCCTATAGGCTGCTGGCGACGCATATACAATCAAAAGCAAGTTGCTGCTGTAGCGGCCATAGAGGCAGGTGGGTGATTGGCAGTTGCAGCGACAAAGCTTCAGTATTCTGGTATATACTCCAAGTCCAACCCTTATATTCCGCTTTTCCTTTTCATTTTTTTTGTATGTACGGATCAGCTGATTTAGTGTTTTATTGTTAACTTACAAGCCAACTTAAGTTTAAAGTTTTGCATGGGGCCACGGAATTTTCGGGGATGGTCCTGGTCCCCTTGACACCGTTTGTCCCCGTCATCATCACCGCAGGTCATCGCCGTTGTTGATCCCTGCTTCGATGATGCTCTATTGCATTGCCACTGACTTTACGCGGGGTGCAGCTGCTAGCACTTTCCTCTGGCATGCCAAAGGCCATGTCTCGCCGGCTGTGTTCTATTCTAACATGGAGAGATGTGCTCAAGGATGGATCTAGATCTAGGGCAGCTAGGGCTCAAGCCATAGGTCTTTAAAAGTTCTAGACTCCATATAAATTTCTAAAATCTGTATGAATTTGTAGGAAATTATGACAAAGTAATGGAAATGAGTCCTAGGGGGTGGCTCCTGGCTGGCTCTGTAACTGATTGTTCTCCACTGTCCCTGAAGTTCATGTTAAAATTGTGCCTTTATATTCCACCGGCTCTACATGTGAAAAGTAGTAGTGGTAGTATAGATGCGCATATCATTTTGTTAATCATAGATCACTTATGCTTGTATGGAAAGTTTGATAATGGACTAATAGAAATTTAGCATGTCCAGGTCATGTTCTGTTATACAAAAGTACGTAAATGTAAATCACTCTTACTACTAGAATCAATATCGAGCCTTCAATTGTTTCTCTATCTATTTGAGTGTCATGATTATTCTTAGTTAGTTAATTTTCTCACTCTCCCCAAAATGTGACGAATTAGAAACTGGGAGTGTAACAATCAAACTAGAAAAAAAAAAGTAGTTGCAAGCGGGCCAAAACCGTTTTCCCAGGCAGACGAGCCTTCCGCCTACGAGCAAATGCCTCTGGTAAATTGGTAGTAGAGCCAATACTGACAAATGCTTGTGCCTATAAGGGCAGACCTAAATTACCAGAGGGGGCTCCCAAGAACTCGGTTAAGAATTTTTTTTAGCTATAATTAGTTTAGTTTCACCATATGTGCACCCCTCAATTCAAACTCAAGCACCCATATCAGCTTATACTTGATCAAAAACAAAGTAAAGCAAGCGAGTGGTACCCCTCTCCATTTTATTCTAGCTCCACCCTGCCTTGTGGTGTGGGTAAAACTATATGGTGATTTGGTACGTTTTAACCTAATAGCTTGGGGTAGAAACAATTGTTGTATTTTTTTAGACTAGAAACAGGCCTATATGTTGTAACGGGTCATACATACATAAAATTAGGGATGGGCTAGAAGGGTGATTGAGGTTAAAGCAATGGGTTCGGTAGTTATGCATGCGAGGAGTGTAAGGAGTAAGGACGCTCTGACTACGGTGGGAGGAGGAGATGTAAGGAGAATGGTTCCACTTTTACAGTCTCAAATTTCAATTAGCGGAAGTGCAATAGTTTGGACAACCAGTTGTACAAACTGCTCCATGCCTAGAGCCTACCGAGAAAGTTATTACGTAAACATGTGAGTTTATAGCATTAGTGTTAGACTGTTAGTGACATTAGTGCTAGTGAGAACTAATGGTTTTGTTTAGTTCAAACATGGCCTTTTTTTTGTGTTATTTCTGATTTACTTTGTAATATCTTTGGGTGTAGTCCGACAACATGAATTCTAGTTACATTGGCCTAAAGGTTTGGGAGGAGTATAAAATCGAAAGTACCTTGATGCCACCTATAGGGGGGTGAATAGGCGTTCCTAAAAATTATCACAACTTCATAGCATATTAGAATGATGAGAGCTTTCGGTTCAAATCGAAACTTCGGGTATGGGATTGGAAGTTCCGATCTCAACCGAAAAGTTCGGTGGATAACGGAATAAAACATTAGCTATGAACTTGTAGCTCGAACAAACAAAATGTATATGAATCAAAAGGTGACAAATAAGGTATCTATGCAATATATAAGGTCACTAACTATATTAATTAAGCATGCAAGTAGATCGAGTAAAAACAAGCTCAAGCACAATATGGGAGATGACAAGAACGAGCAAACCAAGAGAGAAGACATGTTGATTTGTTTCCCGAAGTTTGGATCCATGGATCCTAC